ACTTAAGTGTTCTAGCTAACAGAGTAACTACTCTACGCAACCCAGCTCCTACTCAGAGTGATACTTAAGTGTTCTAGCTAACAGAGTAACTACTCTACGCAACCCAGCTCCTACTCAACAGAGTAATATTTAAGTGTTCTAGCTAACAGAGTAATTACTCTATGCAACCCAGCTCCTACTCAACAGAGTAATACTCAAGTGTTCTAGCTAACAGAGTAACTACTCTACGCAACCCAGCTCCTACTCAACAGAGTGATACTCAAGTGTTCTAGCTAACAGAGTAACTACTCTACGCAACCCAGCTCCTACTCAACAGAGTGATACTCAAGTGTTCTAGCTAACAGAGTAACTACTCTACGCAACCCAGCTCCAGCTAAGCTAATAACTTACAATTGCACTGAAGTGCTCTAGCTAACAGAGACATACTGAAGTGCAACTCTGTTCTAGCTAACAGAGACACACTGTCATACAACCGAGCTCCAGCTGGAGTGTCCAGCATTTAAGTCGGCTTCCTGTTCTCCGGCTTCTTGCGCGAATTTTCCCGGTCCACCTTAAATGATGCGCAGTTAGCGTTATAACGCCTCAGGCGCCAGAACGTAACTGCTGCACCATTTAAGGTGGACCGGGAAAATTGGAATAAGAGGCTGGAGGAGAGGAAGCTGACTCCAGCCTCGTCTGTGCGCCAGGCTGAGTTGAGGTAGACGGATAAACGGAGCACCTGACTGTTGTATTTGACCTCCTCGGCGCCGTTGAGCAGCGGGGTGCCCTCCTCTCCCCTCCCGGACCACGACACCTTCTTCGTTATGTTGGCCATGGCTGAAACAGGCGAGCTCTGCACTTTCAAAACATCCAAATGTCGAACAACATCAGCGCTTAGTGCTGCAGAAGCGCCTCGACCCGTCCGTCCCCATGACTAACAGTCATAAGCCAACTCGTGACGACGGCTACGGAAAGCGAAACGGGCAGCGGCCCGAAGGGATTATGGGAAATGTAGTTTTATCCGAGACGGCGGCCTTCTAGAAGTCCTAGGGCCGTATTACAGCCTTCTTCAGTCTGAAATCTTAGCATATCTGCTTAGTCACCATGACAGGACCCTTTGGTGGTCAAATACTGAGCGTAGTGGTCTGTAGTGGGCATATATGTATATATATCGCTGTTGTGGGACCAAAACCTCGTATCTCCATTTTTGTTGTTTTTCAGTTTTTGACATCATTTAAAATTGCCTGTTTTCCTTTACATTGCATGTCAATTTCATGATGAATGGACCAAAAGAAACGTCTCAAAATGACTTGGGAAAAATTCTGGTTCCATTGACTTACATTAAAAATAAAGTAGGTTTTTTCCTTCTCCTGTAAAGTTACCATTTTGGAGATACGAGGTTTTCTTCCGACAACAGCAATAAATATATATATTATATGACATACTATTATGACTGTGAATTATGCCACAGTCTATTTCCATAAATGTTTTCTTGTTTTAAATAACTGTACTTAGGGAATGTGTCTTATTCTTTTGGCAGATTGTTTTTATTGTTTTACGAAATTATGCAGATAGGAAGAAATAATGCTTGAAACAAGTAAAATGATCTTCCTATGGAATGAGACACTTGCATAGGACAAAATTACTTAAACCAAGTAAAAAATGTATAGAAATACTTAGAATAATTTCATAATATTCTTATAACAATCTCATAATGATAAATATTAGATATATTTACTACATTTAAGACGTTTTCACTCGCTAATAAATCATTTTTCGCAGTGTATAAAATTTTCAACCGTGGATTTCATTGATTTTTATCTCTCAAAACATTAAAAGAACCCTATAAACTATAAAAAGGAAAAGACTTTATACTTGTAACTGGACAGATGCCTTACATGATCTGTTACTAATGTGCTTTTCAGTCACTCTGTCCTCAAAAACGACGTTTGGTCTGGTGCTACCAGCCTTGTGGTCATCCCCACATTCCCAGGGCCCAGTTGTACGTTCCTCTTCCCCATTCCCAGTTCCCTATGTTCCCTTACAGACATTTTAGGAAACAACTCTGTGTTCTCACGTTTCTACCTGTGTTGCCTCAGTCACACTTCCTCAGGATGGAAAACAGCTCTATACCTCTGATATATTTACAAACATACACACTCAAAAAAGATGGTTCTCAAAGGGTTTTTTAGTAAATGAGTTCTATATAGAATCAACTGCACTTACATTTGCATCTTTGTTCTTCAGATTGATGGAGAATGTGTTGTATATTATTCTAAATAGAACTTTTTAAAAAAGGGTTCTATATAGCACCATAAAGGGTTCTTCTGTTGACATCAAAACAATAGAAATACCCTGATGAAGGGCTACTTTAATGTCACTCTCACTGCACCGTAATACAGCTGCAACTCATACCACTCAGTGCCTGCTCTCATGTAAATACAACAAATCTGTCTCATATACTATGTAAATATGCAAATAGAGATACTTTTATTTCTACTCTCTTATACTTTAACTTATGTCTATTTTTCCATCTATTTTTTATTTTGTGCTGTATGTTTGAGTTTATGTGAAATTTTCAACACGGCTAATGCTGCAATTACCCTTCAGGATCAAGAAAGTCCTATCTATCTATCTATCTATCTATCTATCTATCTATCTATCTATCTATCTATCTATCTGTCTGTCTGTCTGTCTGTCTGTCTGTTTGACTATCTATCTATCTATCTATCTATCTATCTATCTATCTATCTATCTATCTACCTGCTGCTGCATTCAACCCTTTTAAAAAGGGTCCTTTACTGAACCCTGTTCAACGCATTCTGCATCAATCAGAAGATCCATTTAAGCATGAAATGGTTCTACGTAGAACTCATGGTTCTAAATAGACCCATTAACTTCACCGAAGAACCATCTTTTTAAGTGTTTACATACTCCGATAATATTATATTCAGTTAATTGGACACGTGTTTTAGACACGCCTGCTTCGGAATATGCAACACTGCAAAACATTACTAAAGTTGGCATTTGTGCTGATAATGGAATCTTTCATCACAACCTCAGCGCCTCCGTTTCAGTACTGCTTTTAACACGCCCTCACCACTTCCTCTTGGGGGAATCCACGATGTCATCTTAAGGGCAATTCCACAGATTTTTTGAAAAATTCCTCATAAGGTGTAAAGAGTGGTTCATTCAGAGTGGTTTGGTGTGAAACGCTCCATTCTAGAGAAACTTACAGAGTCAGAACTGTTCACAGTGGTGGTGATAGGAACCAGACGTCCACCTCCAAAAGCTCCCTCACAGAAAGTTACTACATGAAATGGTTATGAATTCACTGACTGATGCCTATGACATTATTTTACAATATTTTTGATGTGGTTTTGGCCTGAAATGTGTCTTTTAAAAGACATTCATGGTGGATGGATACATACAGAACATTATAAGGCAAACAGTCCCCAAAATAAAACATATTTTTCCAGATTTACTACAATTTTACCATTATAAACATTACATATAGAATTGTGACTCCTGGTTCCTAGTTGGTGTCTCTGCTGAAAAAAACAGCCCTGCTGATAAAGCCATTAAAAACAATTAGGATTACAACCTAATGCTTTCTAATGGGAAACAATACAGACCACTAGTTTCCTGTAGAACACCAAATGCATTTAGAATCAGCCATTAGTCACCTGTTAAACTATTAGGATCCGGTACGTCAGGGTCAAACTCAACTACTAAAAGGGCCATATTAAAAAATCTCAGCAAATCTGTGAGCCAGCTGTGTTTTTATATTATTTTTACTTGACATTTTGCCATGACCCCAACCGGCCATTGTTTATTAAAAATATGCCAAAACTACAACAGTAAAAAAATAGGCACTGAATACTTGAACTATTAAAAAAAAAATTAAATAAAAACAAATTGTTTATATAAAACAATAGACTGCATTAGCTGCTGTAACTGTAAACCTCTTTAAATGTAGGGTTTTTAAAACTGCCCATTCACTTAAACTAGACGCTTGGCTTTTTTTTGTGGTGCAGGGGAGGGGGGTGAAAGCACACGTTACGTTGCAGTGCATGCTGGGAACTGTAGTGCAGCTCTTGTTGAACTGAGCTCATATTAATAGAAAATAAAACTAACTTTGCCGGCCGAATAGGATTGTATCACGGGCCTGACTCGGCCTGTGGGCCATGTGTTTGACACATTAAACCCTACATTCCATGCTGGTCTAAGCTGGTCTATGCTGGTTTATACTGGTTTAGTGCTGCTCTGCTGCTGGTTTAGCTGGTCACCCAGCACAGTCATGCTGTTTGACCAGCATACCAGCTTCCAAAACACAACACATGCTGCTCTATGCTGTTTTTTCTATCAGGGAAGGGACACACAGAGCTCGCTCAGGTAGCCAAGTAGCTCACTGTGGCCGGCCTAGTTGAGGACAAGTGCACTCCTATTGTCTCCTTTATGTCTTAGGTATGATGTATCATTGTACATTCACATTTATGCATGTTTACATTACATTATGCATTTGGCAGACAATGTATAAATGAATCATGTTACACATGTAGTCAAATAGTTTATGAATGAATGGACACAGATACAGAAGACTCCAGGATGGCTTCTACTGCCACTTAAGCTACACTGTTCAGCCATAGCATTAAATGCATCTTCATGTTCCTACACTCATTGTCCATTTTATCAGCTTCACTGACCATATAGTTTCACTTTGTAGTTCTACAGTTACAGACTGTAGTCCATCTGTTTCTCTGCAGACTTTGTTAGCCCCCTTTTACCCTGTTCTTCAGTGGTCAGGACCCCCATGGACCCTCACAGAGCCGGTACTATTTGGGTGGTGGATGCAGTAACACTGATGTGGTGGTGGTGTGTTAGTGTGTTGCGCTGGTCTGAGTGGATCAGACACAGCAGTGCTGCTGGAGTTTTTAAACACCTCAGTGTCACTGCTGGACTGAGAATAGTCCACCAACCAAAAACATCCAGCCAACAGTGTCCTGTGGGCAGCGTCCTGTGACCACTGATGAAGGACTAGAGGATGACCAACACAAACTGTGCAGCAGCAGATGAGCTATCGTCTCTGACTTTACATCTACAAGGTGGTAGGAGTGCAAATTAGCTTTTTGCACTGTCCTGTATTGCCACAAAGTGGAAGTAACATTTGAGGTGGACTTTTGGGAATCTTGTGAATACGGAAGGAAGGCAGAGAGCTAACATACTGCTAGGAAGCTGAATATCTTACTGCTGCCATATAACAGACACTGAACATGTATCGGCTGATTATATTTGAGCTAGGTTGTGTAAATTTGTATTTTATTTCGATTTATCTAGGTACAATGTTCCAGACATTGGCAGGTCACTTGCTGGACGGAGCCATGCAGAGCTTCCACATCATCCAGGGTCAGCGCTGCTCCTCTAGGCAGCCCTTTCCCAGTGGCCAGCCCAGATACTTCACCTGGACTTAGCGCCCGGGTCCACAAGGCAAAGCCAGCCAGCCTGCCCACAAACGCCTCGGCCTGGTCGAACCCTCCTCCTACCGTGTCCTGCTCCTGTCCCAGGATCATGGATCCACGTGGAGGGATTTCGTAGTCCTTCTGGAACTTGGAGCCAGTGGAGATGAGGCGCCGGTCGACGTAGTGCCAAAATCGGCCTTCAATGGAAGACCAAACCACGCACATATGGTGCCACTGGCCATCAAGCATGTTGTCTGTGGTCAGTTCACGGTAGGCCGGATCTCCGATCACAAAGTCCATGTTGCCTAGCACGCTGGACCTGCGGCCGTAGAGGACCAGAGTGTTGTCGTTGTCCTCGGTGGCATAAGACAGCAGCGTGCCCACATACCCTGCGTCCACTCTCAGCCAGGTGCACACGGACAGCTCGTGGACGCCGGTCAGGAAAGGTGTGTGGAAGGTGACGTAATTTTTGGTGGATGCAGATGGGAACAGCAGCATCGAGTGCACATTGCATACTGTGGGGCGAGGCAAAAGGGAATAAACAGAACTGGTTAGGCCTCATACAGTGCAGTTGGTTTGACCTGTAGTGCTGAACACTTAAAAATTAGTTCACTGAATGTAAGTTGAGTTCAGCAAAAGTGGGACATTGTTCAATACTATTTTAATATGTTTTTAACAGGTCCTCCTCACCAACTTCGACTCACCACTGAAGTGTCTGGCTGCAGACATGCACTCTCAGCCTGTTAATGACGTCAATGCACGCTCTGCCATGACACTGTTTTGTCCGTTTGAGGAGCAAATACAGTGAACCACGTACTGCGGGGCTACATGAGTTACGCTGAATGGATTTTAGCTTTGTCATACTGATAATAATAATGGAATTAAATAATATGATAATTTACAAAATAAAAATAAAACCTGCCACAATGTAATAAAACATTATGTCGGGTTTATTCACAGAAAAGGCAAACAGGCTGCTGCTGAAACTCTATTTTAAAATTACACTATATGGACAAAAGCATTGGGACACCTACACGTTACACCTACAGGAGCTTTTATGAGTCCCATTCTAAATCCATAGGTATTAATATGGAGTTGGTCTTTCTACAAGATGTTGGAGAGAGTCCGTGGGAATTTCTGCCCATTCATCCAGAAGAGCATTTGTGAGGTCAGACACTGATGTTGGACGAGAGGGTCTGGCTCACAATCTTCATTCTAGATCATCCCAAAGGTGTTTGATGGGGTTGAGGTCAGGGCTCTGTGAGGGCCAGTCAGGTTCTTCCACACGAAACTCGCCCAGCCAGGACTTTATGGAGCTGCTTTGGTCACTGGGGCTCAGTCATGCTGGAACAGGAAAGGTTCTTCCCCAAACTGTTCCCACAAAGTTGGAAGTGTACAATTGCCTAAAATGTCTTGGTGCTGAAGCATCAAGGTTTCCCTTCACTGGAACTAAGGGTTCTAGACCAACCCCTGAAAAACAGCCCCGTATCATCAGCCCTCCTCCACCAAACGTTACAGCTGGCACAGTGCAGTCAGGCAGGTAACGTTCTCCTGGCATTCGCCAAACCCAGACTCGTCTATCAGACTGATAGATAGAGAAGCTGATTCATCACTCCACAGAATACATTTTCACTGAGTCCAGTGGTGGCGCTCTACTCCACTCCATCTGACGCTTGGCATTGTGCTTGGTGATGTAAGGCTTGTATGCAGCTGCTCAGCCAAGGAAACCCTGCCATGAAGCTCCCGGTGCTCAGTTTCTGTGCTGATATTGATGCCAGAGGAGGTTTGAACTCTGCAGTTATTGATCAGCAGAGTGTTGGAGGCTTTTATACTCTATGCTCCTCAGCACTTGTGTAACTTTACATGGTCTGACACTGCGTGGCTGAGTCACTGTGGTTCCTAAACACTTCCACTTTTCAATAATACACTCACAGTTGATCGTGGAAAATCTAGGAGGGAAGAAATTTCACTGACTTATTGCAATGGTGGCGTCCTATTACAGCACAACGCTCGAATTCACTCTTTAGAATGACCCATTCTTTCACTAATGTGTGTAAAGTCAGGCTGCATGGCTAAGTGCTTGATTTTATACACCTGTGGCAATGAGACTGAATGAAACACCTGAATTCAGTGATTAAGAAGTGTGTCCCAATACTTTTGTCCATATAATGTACATTAAATGCAATTCTCGAGCTATGTAATTTCAAGAAAATAGGTTAAGTGATGATATATGGTTATTGAGAAGGAAAAGGAAGAAGCAGAAGCAGCCAAATGTCAGCATACTGTTGGGCCAATTGTTCCATTGTGCGTGTGACGTCACTGGGGCTGAGAGTGCATGTCTGCAGCAAGACTCTACCGCACGCCTAGGCCTGTCACAATGATGACATTGTATCTGATGATTACCAACCATAGGAATTTGTGATCAGTTCAAATAATCACAAATACTTGGAACCAGAAAAATGATCTGCCCCTAGAACGAGGCAATTTCACCCAATATCTTTCAAGTCTCAAGTCTTTCCACTGATTTTTTAAAATTCATAACCAAAACCATAATTCGGTGGTTGAGATATAACCAGAGTGATTCAGAGTGGTTTGGCGTGAAATGGTTCAGATGTCTTTACAGTGGTGGTGATAGGAACCAGGGGTCACCATGACTACAACACAAATATAGACATTTTATTTACTATCCAGAGCCACCAGTGAACCTACACGAGTTTATATGGAATGATGATGATGATGATGATGGAAAATAGTGGAAAATCTGAAATACGTTTTCAATGCGGACTATTTTGGCTCACAACACCCATGTATCCCTCCACCATAAAAGGATTTAAAACCATACAAAAAATACATTTTAGACCAAAATCCTCTCTAGTAAAACAGTGTCTCAGACATCAGGCAGTGAATTCATAACCATTTCATGTAGTAACTTTCTGTGAGGGAGCTTTTAGAGGTGGACGTCTGGTTCCTATCACCACCACTGTGAACAGTTCTGACTCGGTAGGTTTCTCTAGAACTGACCGTTTCACACCAAACCACTCTGAACGACTCTGTTTACATTTTAACCACTTAATTATGCAGAAAATGTCCCCCTAGTGATGGGACAGCTCAAGTGTACTATTTACATGTCTGACCGCAATTCTTGTGTATACAGTGCCTGTAGAATGCTGTCTGATTGCAACGTCACTCAGCAACTTTCTCTGCTTGGACTGGCAGGTAGACATCAGCATGTTCCTCATGTGACACTCATGAGCAGGGTGGTGCAACCTTGAATGTTTTCCACCACCAGACATGTTAAAGAGTGTATTGTGGGCACACCCTTCTCAGAACACTGCTGCTTTCTGAGCTGAGGCTAATCACATGCCTTATTACTCAATAGATTCATTTCTACATGTTCATTTAAATTCACGTCATACACTGCAAAAGTCAGAGAGTTCCAGAAAACATTTATTTAACACATATTTAAGAAAATTACGCAGTGTGTCCACCATTTACTTTTAATACAGCTTCCACTCTTTTCAGGAGACACCTCAAACACCTCCAAAGTTCAGTCTTAGAAGTTGGTTGCTGATTCTCACAATCCAAGTTCTTTCAATTACAGATTTAGGCCCAATCCCATTTCGCCCCTCGCCCCTACCACTTAACCCCACCCTCTGTTTTGCGCGTTCACGTCTAGGGGTAGGGTGTCCTGATTCTTGTTGAGATAGAGGGGTAGGGCGAAGTGTTAGAGCTACATGACCCTCCAAACAGAGGTTTTTCAGAGACTCCAAACAGAGAGTTATGAGGAAAAAAGACAAACCGGTAAGACGGCTGAACAAGAGACCAAAGAAACACACAAATGTGAGAATTTTCTCTATTAAAAAATTACAATAACCACTGTTTTATCTTAGTTTAATGTTGTTTCAGTGTATTATGGTCCTTTTCTTCATAACAAGTACTAGTAGTCTCAGTAGCTAGCTAACTTTCCTGTTCCACCTTAAATGGTGCAGCAGTTACATTCTGGCTCCTCAGGCATCAGAACTGCTGCTCCATTTAAGGTGGAATGGAAAAATTCAAACAAGAATCTGGTGAATATCTGACTTCAGCTTCATATCACTGAAGAATTAGGGGTGGGTGATAATAAATAATTGCCCCCCCTCTTTGAAGATCATATGACCCCCTAAATGTAACTAAAGCCCAGCAGTGAGGAGCTGAACTTTACCCTCCTCTGCTGTCACTGCAGACTGGCAGGGTCACCTACAGAGCAGCGCTGGTAGCTGTTAATGAAGTGATGCTCTTTTTATTTGAGGGTCCCATTTCAGAGGGAAGATTTCAACCACTACCCTGTAACTCAGTTCAAGGGGCAAGGAGACACTTGCAGTGGAAGGATGGACAGAAACCCCTGTGGATGTTTTCAGATCTGAAGCAGCTTGATTTTCTCCTCTCTCTCAAACATGAAAGCTTTAAGTGCTGTTTATCTGATGGGGGACGGTTTTGGTGTCTACCAGGTCTTCCAGGTGGTTGTTAGGAATGTCACGTTCTCCATATAGTGGATAATCTTATATCTATTATATCTCATATATTTCTGAAATATGAATAACTTGTACTAATAGACCATTGTTTTTATTGGTAATTAAATAAATAAAAGATGGACTTTTGCACAGTACTGTAATTTGACCAAAATCAAATATTTATTATTCAGTAGCTACAACGCCTGCAGTGCTGATTGGTTAAGTTATACCTACACTTGCATTCTCTCCACTCACTCTGTAAATATGTATATATATGTTTATACTTGCAATGTCTATATTTTTTACCACTCCACTGTCCTTAATTGTACATATTGTAACCACAGCATCACTTTTCACATTACTTTCCTGCACTTTATATGTAAATAATGCTCTATTTTGCACTTCTGGTTAGATGTTAACTGCATTTCATTGGCTCTGTACCTGCACTCTGTACAATGAGAATAAAGTGGAATATCTAATCTCATTTTTATGTTTTTTTTTTTCATCTAATTTAAATTCAGCCCACATGTAGTTGATCAGCCAAGATGTGTGCCGTCTGAACTTCTTTAGCTTTAGCATCAGAGCTGCGAGGCCAGTTTGGTTAACAAGGAATGGAAGCTTATACACCAACAATTATTTTTGCTAGAACTGTTAAGTAAGTATGCACACTGTAAAAGGATGTTTCTTTCAAGGGGTCTTTAGTAAAGGCAATGGTTCTATTTAGAACCATGAGTCCTACACCCCTGGGCAAAACCCCAAATGGAGAAATATTAAGCTTTAATGGTGTTAACAACACAGAAAGGAGACTCAGCATTGATCCACTCAACACTGACGGCTTCAAACAGCTGAAAAACACTAACCAAGCTAGTTTGTGTTTAATATGAGACCAAATATTCTCTACAGGGTTTAAATCTGGACTAACTAGATTTAAATCTGACCAGCAAAAACCATCAGTAAAACACATTATATTTTGGACTTGACGCATTTTTGCCCATGAGCTCTATACAGAAACATTTCTTGCTTGCATAGTGTTTCATATTGATGGTGAATGTGTTGTATATGGTTCTTTATAGAAGGGAGGCTGTATAAGGTATTTGAGCAATGTATTCTGGGAATTGTAGTCAGAGGACACTGATAGACTGATAGAAAAGGGATAAAAAAATATGAATTCTGTAAAACTGATGAGGCTGAGGGATGCAATGCTGTATGATTTAACTCTGTGTCTTTGAACCTGACCTTTTTATTTAGCTTACAAACTGAGTCAAGTGTATTAAAGCCAGGAAAACATAGAGGGCAAGCAGAGCAAGCAGGCCCAGAACAGGGTCAAATGAGGCGGGCACGTACTTGTAGTGGCTTTCTTTGGGGTGTAGTGCTGTGGGATCTTGTGTCTGAGGGGAGGAGATGTTGGCGGGGCGACAGTCTGACTGGGTGTCTCCACTGAAAAAGAGCAAAGTATTCAATTGACTTGATTAAATTTGTATCATTTCCATTAATAATGTACACCGATCAGGCATAACATTCTGACCACCTCCTTGTTTCTACGCTCATTGTCCATTTTATCAGCTCCACTTACTATATAGGTGCACTTTGTAGTTCTACAGTTACAGACTGTAGTCCATCTGTTTCTCTGATACTTTGTTAGCCCCTTTTTACCCTGTTCTTCAGTGGTCAGGACCCCCATGGACCCTCACAGAGCAGGTACTATTTGGGTGGTGGATCATTCTCAGCACTGCAGTAACACTGATGTGGTGGTGGTGTGTCAATGTGTGTTGCGCTGGTCAGTGGATCAGACACAGCAGTGCTGCTGGAGTTCATATTCACGGTCAGTGATGGATCTAGAACTTTCAGAAGGACAGAGTTTTGTCTGTCACTTCCTAATTATGCTGGTAGTTAATCTAACATGTTAGGCCAGGGGTCGGCAACATGTGGCTCCAGAGCTGCATGCGGCTCTTCTACTGCCCTGTTGCTCCACAGCTGAATCAGATTTGTAGGTTAAAATAAAATAATCCTCCTTTACAGTAAAATAAAGCTCTGCTGATCGTTCAACATAGTTTAACAATAAATGGTCTTAAACTCTGGAGTTAATGTAGAACTGCTAATTCACCCCCTGCTGGTCACCATAACAACACAGACAACAATCTCGCCTAGCTAGTAGCTAACGAAACGGCAAAGAGAGAGATTTAAGATGAACATCGATAATTTGCAGACAAATTGACTAATTTGCATGTATAATCACTCCAGCTGGTTTCCTGATACGTTTAATCTGCAACGAGAAACTGACAAACACTAAAAAGTCACAAAGCTGATGTCAGCTTCTTGTTCGAATTTTCCCGTTCCACCTTAAATAGTGCCGCAGTTACATTCTGGCACCTCAGGCACCCTTTAAGGTGGAACGGGAAAATTAGAACAAGAAGCTGGCGAATGAGAAGCGACTTCAGCCTCTTAAAAAAGCGAACATTGGAGACGTTTTACAAGAAACTGTTCTACTTTTTGAGGAAAAGTTTCCTGCCAGAGATGCGAGAAAAGCAGCTATAGCTGAGCTAAAGCTTAAAGCAGAGCAAAGTAAGTCTGCGTTTTTGTTTGTATTATAGTTTTTAGTCTATACTAGTTCATCAGCACTTACTAAGACATATTTACAGCCAAGATGGTAAAATGGACATAAAATGTTGTGGCTTTCAAAAGGTTTGATTTTTGTTAAAAGGCCAAAATGGCTCTTCTTAACATTTGGGTTGCCGACCCCTGTGTTAGGCCTTCAGTCCAGCTCCTGAGGTCTTAACCAACGGGAGAACTCGCTCAGCTGTATCTAACTTGGTACCACAGAGAAAATAATCCTCATTGCATAATGTTCCATTGACGGTTTTAAGAATTTAACCCTTTTGTTTCCAACCAAAACATATCATTGAAATCTGAGAATTGCTACACTACTTGCAGAGTTTAAATACAACAAGCACAATGACTGTATTAAATAAAAATCACAGATTTTTTAAATTCAAATCATTAAGCATTGTCTGAAAGCACTGAAGGCCCTGATGCTCCCCCTTTTGGTCTTATTAATGTAGAAATGTTTTATCACCTGAATATGGATCCGGTGCGCTGGTGGCCCTCACTGCTGGAGGAGGAAGCCAACTTTTCATCCTGGTGTCCTTGGAAACTTTGGGCTGCCCTGCTCTGTGTGAAAAAACTTGATTCTTCTCCTTCCTACTGAGGGCGTTTCCGGAAGTATGCTGGACACTCCTCATTTGATCCTCCAGCTTACTCATCTGTTCTCTAAGGGCATCCTGAAGGTGATGGATCTCGCCTTGCTGGGCCTCCACAGCCCTGATTCGGCCCTGCTGAGCCCCCAGCTCCTGGGTCAGGTTGGCCATAGCTGTCCTGTGTTCCTGGAGCTGCCTGTGGGCCAGCCGGGCGTTCTCCTTGACTGCCCGTTCCGCGCTGACCAGCCTCAGCTCCAGCCGCCTGGTCTTCCTCTGCAGTTTCCTGCTCCATGACTTTAGAGAGTTGAGGTCCTGCTCAGTCGCCGCTCTAAAGGAGCTTATCTCTTTTGAAATGCCCTCAAAGTGCTGGGTCAGCATGAGGAAGCGGGAGTCCATGCTGTAGGAGATGTTGTAGCTCTCAGCAATGCTCTGAAGATGCGTGAGGGTCATCTCTTGGAATCTTCTAAACTGAGTGGGATATAGAAACATAGAAATATTCAGAGACCTCACATTTAAAACATACATCGATCAGGCATGACATTCTGACCACCTCCTTGTTTCTACACTCATTGTCCATTTCATCAGCTCCACTTACTATATAGGTGCACTTTGTAGTTCTACAGTTACAGACTGTAGTCCATCTGTTTCTCTGATACTTTGTTAGCCCCCTTTTACCCTGTGTGTTAGTGTGTGTTGCACTGGTCTGAGTGGATCAGACACAGCAGTGCTGCTGGAGTTTTTAAACACCTCAGTGTCGCTGCTGGACTGAGAATAGTCCACCAACCAAAAATATCCAGCCAACAGCGTCCTGTGACCACTGATGAAGGACTAGAGGATGACCAACACAAACTGTGCAGCAGCAGATGAGCTATCGTCTCTGATTTTACATCTACAAGGTGGACTGACAAGATAGGAGTGTCTAATAGAGTGGACACTGAGTGGACACAGTGTTTAAAAACTCCAGCAGCACTGCTGTGTCTGATCCACTCAGACCAGTGCAACACACACTAACACACAGGGTAAAAGGGGGCTGACAAAGTATCAGAGAAACAGATGGACTACAGTCTGTAACTGTAGAACTACAAAGTGCACCTATATAGTAAGTGGAGCTGATAAAATGGACAATGAGTGTAGAAACAAGGATAATGCCTGATCGGTGTATCAAGCAGCATTTAGCATTGAAAAAAGATAAAAAAGAACATTTTCCAAGACACAATCTCACATGACATCTCAGCACTGTGAAATCCCCTTGCACTGTCAGCTGTGATGGAAAAATAAGCTCAAGACAAAAAGGCGAAAGCTTCAACGCGTTCATGTTACAGCACAAACCTGCTCGTCCAGCCTCCTCAGCCTTTGATATAAACGCTTCCTCGTTTCTGCAGATGCCAGCCGTGACCTTTGCCCCTGGTTCAGCTGTACCTGAAGGAGGACGAGGATCAGGAGGACGCCCACAGCTGCCCTGCTGCAACCCATAATGAACGGACCGGCGGGAATGTCCACTTTTTCAGTCTTTCGAGCGACGGGATGTGAGCGGGTTACTCTACATAGACACACAATGTGGCCTTTCCATTAGATATGCAGGCCAAGAGGGAGTCCAGAGCAGAACTAGATGGATTTAACAGAGCAGCGACAAAGACGTCCAACACAAGGATACAAGTGCTCTGAGATTCCTGCCCAAGAAATCACTACAGGCCCCTAAATCTACGCATGGCCAACCAAACACTCAACATGCATGCACACATGAATGCAGTCCAGTGATGGCAGCATTGCACTCTTGCAGACAGACACATCGTCCTGTTTAGCACGAGCGTGTGTGGGTGTGAGGGTAGGCGAGCGGACCAAATCACAAAAGAGAAACTGTTCAGAGTCACACTCCGCCCTCCTGAAGACTTCTTGCCTGAAAAAACAGGGATGCATTGAATTGACTTGATTCAAATGTTTGTCAACATGTATATTACACTGTAAGTACATTAAAAGACGAGTGTGTTGACGTTGACTGTCATTCAGGAGTTTTATATCACATGTTATATCCACCCCTTAACCCTTGAGCAGTGTTGAGGTCTGTGGGACCCATTTTTATTGTTTACCAAAAGAAAAAAATGTGATTTATTATTATTTCAACCCCAGATTCCTTGGCCTTTGCTCATTTTCTGTGAAGAACTTACACCGATCAGGCATAACATTCTGACCACCTCCTTGTTTCTACGCTCATTGTCCATTTTATCAGCTCCACTTACTATATAGGTGCACTTTGTAGTTCTACAGTTACAGACTGTAGTCCATCTGTTTCTCTGATACTTTGTTAGCCCCCTTTTACCCTGTTCTTCAGTGGTCAGGACCCCCATGGACCCTCACAGAGCAGGTACTATTTGGGTGGTGGATCATTCTCAGCACTGCAGTAACACTGCCGTGGTGGTGGTGTGTTAGTGTGTGTTGCGCTGGTCTGAGTGGATCAGACACAGCAGTGCTGCTGGAGTTTTTAAACACCTCAGTGTCGCTGCTGGACTGAGAATAGTCCACCAACCAAAAATATCCACATGCGCAACACACAATACCTAAAGTTGGACAGCAAAAAAAAAATCTTAGCGAGTTAAAACATCTTATATGTAGTGAATATAACTAATATTTCTCTTTTTGAGGTTGTTGTAATAAGATAAGCAAAATTATCTTCATTATTTCTTAAAAACATGTAAATTTTGTCTGCCAATGGGATAACACAGTGATTGGATGGTTTTTTGTTGGGAGGTTTAAGAATTTGATCTCAGTATGTGCTGATGTTCTAGTATAGGCTAAAAATATAATATAAATGAAAACACAGACTTACTTTGCTCTGCTTTAAGCTTTAGCTCAGCTATAGCAGCTTTTCTCGCATCTCCAGCAGGAAACTTTTCCACAAAAGTAGAACAGTTTCTTGTAAAATGTCTCTCAGCGTTTAACTTTTTATGAAGCTGAAGTCGCTTCTCATTTGCCAGCTTCTTGTTAAAATTTTCCCGTTCCACCTTAAATGGTGCCTGAGGTGCCAGAATGTAACTGCTGCACTGTTTAAGGTGGAACGGGAAAATTGGAACAAGAAGCTGGCGAATGAGAAACTGACTTCAGCTTTGTGACTTTTTAGTGTTTGTCAGTTTCTCGTTGCAGATTAAACATATCAGGAAACCAGCTGGAGTGATTATACATGCAAATAAGTCCATTCGTCACCAAATTATCGATGTTTGTCTTAAATCTCTCTCTTTGCCGTTTCGTTAGCTACTAGCTGGGCGAGACTGTTGTCTGTGTTGCTATGGTGACCAGCAGTCTGCGCTGATCTTCAGGGTTAAAGGGTGAATTAGCAGTTCTACATTAACTCCAGAGTTTAAGACCATTTATTGTTAAACTGTGTTGAACGATCAGCAGAGCTTTACTTTACTGTAAAGGAGGATTATTTTATTTTTACCTACTAATCTGATTCTGCTGTGGAGCAACAGGACAGTAAAAGAGTCGCATGTTGCCAGGCCAAGGAGGATTTGAGGGTTCTCCACTGTTTATCATTAACAGCTAACGCTAATTAACGCTAATTACTTTAGTGTTTTCCTGCTCTGGAGCTCCTGATTCAGCTCTGTAAGGACTTGATCATTCGCTAATGACTAGTAAAGCATGAAACAGACTACAGTACCGTAGATGGGAAACACTGGCCTACAGTGCTAAACAAAACAGTGAAAACTCCTCACAATCAATCCATATATCACTGACAAGGTGCCTTTTGTCTTCATAGTCTCTTCAGGCTCCGGAATGGTGTTACACACGTTTTCTACAACTGTTGAGGAATTAGTCCATTCTTTACAGAAACAGGACCAAAATCACGTTAAGACAGCAGAGACTGACAGCAGGATAAAGGCCTTAGGCTCTCTCCAAGCAAGACGGGCTCACAAATGGTGTAAAAGATTAAAAGAATACTTAAACTGAGAGTCACAAATACTCAGTTCATTGTGGAGAATCTTACAGACTCAGATGTCTTTACAGTGGTGGTGATAGGAGCCAGGGGTCGCCATGACAACACAAATATAGACATTTTATTTACTATCCAGAACCACCAGTGAACCTACACGAGTCTTCTGAGTCTATATGGAATGTTGATGATGGAAAATAGTGGAAAATCTGAAATAATAAGTTTTCTTTGGGGACTATTTTGCCTCACAACACCCTGCATGTATCCATCCACCATGTATTAGAATATTAGAATAAACACAAATCAAAATAAAAGCCAGCATGCATGGAATCAGCATCTGGTAAGAGTGCGTTTAACTTTGAGCACCAAATTCTGACCAATTCAAAATGAAAAATCAATGATCGGTGCACTGTTAGCTGTAATACGTTAGAATAACACTGATTTGATTCAGCTTACTCTGACCGGTTATATGAGTGGACTATAAATTCTATGGATTGTTCAATTCAATCATCGGCACATTTGATTTAAAGGGGAACTCCACTGACTTTTCAAAAATTCTGCGTAGTTAAATGATTAAGGTGTAAACAGAGACATACTAAGTTTTCTTTGGGGACTATTTTGCCTCACAACAACCTTCATGTATCCCTCCACCATGAATAGATTTTAAAAATACATTTTGCACCAAAATTATCATAAACTATCATAAAACTCATAACAAAAAAAATCATAACCATTTCATGTAGTAACTCTCTGTGAGGGAGCTTTTAGAGGTGGATGTCTGGTTCCTATCACCACCACTGTGAACAGTTCTGACTCTAGGAATGAGCATTTCACACCAAACCACTCTGAGTGACTCTGTTTACATCATGCTGAATTCTGCCGAAATTCTGAAAATATTTATAGAAATATTAGCGATTTATTACATTAAATGGTTATGAATAAACTGCCTGGTGCCTGAGACATTTTAGTAGTTTTGAGAAGGTTCTGGTCTAAAGCTGAATTTTTTTAATACGTTTATAATGAAGAGATACAGTCCTATGCAAAAGTTTGGGCGCCCTGGTCAAATTCCATGTGTTCTTGATTTTCTGATGTTGACCAGTAGAAAGTATGACAGGAGTCCAAAGTTAACCATACACTGAGACGTGCTGTGATGAATGTGTGGCCGGAGCCGTGGGCGTGGGCGTGGCGGAGGTTAGACTGAGTGAGCCGACAGCTCCGGGGCAGGAGCTGTTCCGTAGCCGTGAGGTGTTGGAGTAGGTGGTCCTGTAGGGCCTGCTGGATGACAGGAGGTTGAGCAGATGATGACCAGGGCAAGTGGTGTCGTCACAGATGTTTGTGCGGTGTAGATGTGCTCCAAGCTCATCTGCTGCACGGCTTAGTGTTTATACCCCTTGTGTCAAACACCAGGCCCACGGGTCAGATCAGGCCCGCCACACAATCCTACCCAGCCCGTATTTTAATTTTCTATTAATATTAGCCTGTTTCACAAAGCGCTGCACTACAATCCCCAGCATGCACTGCAGCGAAATGTGTGCCCCGACTCTCCTACCCCAACAACAATCTACACTCTCAGAAATAAAGGTACTGAACTGTCTCTGGGTCAGTTCCCCTCTTGTCACTGGGGTGGGACCCTCAAGGCTCCATCTCAGTACCTTTAGTCAGGGAACATAACTGAACCATAATCCACTGAAATGATATGTTCTAAGCTGTACTGACTCCACACACCCCGTCTCGTCTCCAGGCTTTTATTTTACTGTTCTGTTTAAAACATTCGGTTATGAAAAGGTACAAATACAAACTTTTCACCTGGAAAAGCTTATTTAAGGTTCACAATCAGACCTTAAATCCACTGTTGGAGCTTTGAGGGAACATTTACACTGTTTGTACCTTGATGAACGAAAAATGTACCTGAGCAGAACCTTTATTTCTAACAGTCTATGGGACACTGGTTACACCTCAGTTCTACACAATTCTATGCAATTCCAGACCAGTCATATCACCAAAATGCATCTCAGCTGCATTTCAGCCAGTATAAACACTTAACATCAGCTCAGCAGCTCAGAAACTGAGCACAAGTCTTAATGAACTTGCAGCAAAGAAAGGATATCAGGTGTTTAGTTCAAGCAGTTGGTAGGTTTAAAAGACTGAGCACCTGGGGACATTTAAATTATGAATATTTTAAGGTCCACTACAAGTTTCTGTATTTTACCATTGAAGTTTTTGCATATTTTGAATGAACAATGGCCAGGTGGGGTTATAGTACAACATTAATTCAAAATGAAATGAAAACATTTTTTCCCCTGGCCTGCAGATTTGATGAGGGTTTTTAATACGGCGCTTTTACTGGTTGAGTTTGACACCCCTGGTGGTCAGAAGCCGGTAGGAAACCAACAGCTGTTGCATTCTTAAAAGTAAAGCTGCTAGGACAAAGGGTCCTCTGAGCGATAGAAGAACCACTTTTTGTTCCCTAAAGAGCCAAAAGAGATGAGAGTATGAAAAACCTTTTAAAAGGTTAAAGGTTCCTTCCTAGAACTTTTTGTGGAGGTTCTTTAAACTTTTTAAAAAGAATAAAACTGTTTTTGTAATGTCATAAAAAGCAAGACATTTACTGCCTATAGCAGTTTAGCTCCGCCCATTCATGCTGAAGTTATGAGGAGTTTATAAATTAATTTAAAGAATTTAGAAATACATTAGGGCATAGAAATACAGGAGGATGTCTATGTTAAGTTGCATTAGCATGTTTTAGTCATTAGCAAAATATGCCTGTTTCTTTACAATTAATAGTTCTTC